TGGAAACGAAGGGCGGGTGCCTCCAGGGAAATGGACTCTGGCTGGGGGAGGGGAGGCCTTTACTTATAACTAAACATGGTTCCATAAGGCTCACAAGATAGTGGAGAGTGTTCATTTAATAAATAGTGTATTTCCTGAGTGCAGGCACCACGCTATGTACACAGCTCCTGCCCTGCAGAGCAGTCTAGTGGAGAAAATAGATATTAAATAGTCATACAAATAAATGTACAAAAATACAACTTAAAAAGGTGCTATGAAGGAGAAGTTCAGTGAGCTGTATGGGAAACGAGGTCCGAGAAGACTCCCCCTGAAGAAGTGACAGTTTAGCTAAGGCCCACACACTGAGTGGAAGATAATGGGTGAAGATGGCCAGGAAGAGGATAGACTATCTTGGATGTGGGATTCAGACAGATACACTGACAAAGAGAAGGGAGGAGAGGCCAGGATAGCAAGAGATCTTTGGGGCCTTGGGAGAAAGGTTCTGAGAAGAGAGAGGTCACACCTGTCACTGCCTTCATTTCTCCTGGTCACTGTTAAATGAAATTCACTGAAATTCGTTTCCACTCCAGTGAACAAACATCCTTCCTTCCTTCCTTTGCTCACTGACCGGTTCATTCATCCATCCAACCGGTCCACAGTGAGCAAGGTACTGAGCTAGGAGGCACCAGGAGAAGAAGCTGAGGGACACCCACTGGCCTGGGGAGTTTATAATAAATGACAGAAATGCTATTCTGGCACTTCCTTTCTATTGTTTTGACCCGCTGCCTACCAGGCAACGGAAGGAGGATGAAGAAGTGACTGCGCTAATCAGAATGCAGAACATAGGAAACTCTAATAAAATCAGGGCCTATAGCACACTGATCTCCATCCCCCGTGGCTGAGGGAATGTGGGAGGAGGGGGAAGGGTGATAAAAGAGACAGAAATGCTATTCTGGCACTTCCTTTCTATTGTTTTGACCCGCTGCCTACCAGGCAACGGAAGGAGGATGAAGAAGTGACTGCGCTAATCAGAATGCAGAACATAGGAAACTCTAATAAAATCAGGGCCTATAGCACACTGATCTCCATCCCCCGTGGCTGAGGGAATGTGGGAGGAGGGGGAAGGGTGATAAAATGTCCAGGTGGGAGGACCATCGCTGAGACTTTTCTCTCAGAGTGCAGTCATTCACTGCAGGCATCCCTCACTGAAGTGAAAAGCTCTGTACTGCATGTATAAAAATGTGCCACACGGGAACATACATACAGAACCCTCTAATTTATGAAATAGAGAGTCCATTTCTTTCAAATAAGGGCTGTTCTCACAGAAAGCAGTAGGAGAATCACTTGGGTGAGGAAGTCAGCAGGCCTGTGACACTCAGGAATCACAGAACGTCCCACAGTGGCCGCAGCTGTGGGAAGCGTGGTGCTCACCCCTTTGGCTCTATCCCCACACTGGGCATCTGGCCCCACGGATGGTCCTCCCTTGGTTCTGGCCTCTCTGGCCTTGGCCCTCTTGGCCTTGGCTTGGCTGCTGCAGTCATTCCAGATTCCTGGGCCACACAGCCCTGGGGAAGCCTAAGAATCCCTCAAGCTGGAGGCTGCCGGTGCTCCAGGAGCAAACCAGTTTATGCTTGGAACTCCTATGTTAGCAACACAAGTTACTTAGCATTATTCCAAAAGGTTAACATTAATTCCCTCTAACAGGTGGAACTGTGTATAGCATATGTTCATTTTGCATCTATGCATTGTCTAAATTTCCTTCAATAATCATGGATTACAGTAGTAATAAGGAAAAATAAACATTTTCCCCAATGTAGAGGAGGTGGGAAGCCAGGGTTTGGCTTTCTTACCTTCCCAGAGCAGCCCAAGAGAGAAGCTGGTGTTGATAAGGAATAGCTCTCTTATCCCATGTTAGATAAGCATTATAAAATTAAATAAAAGCAATTCACATTTATCATACCACTCACAGATGTGGCACCCATGGGATTTCGAAGAACCCTTCACAGACTTGCCTCCAAGACCCACTCGACAGCCCTGTGAGGTAGGTCTGTCTGGTTCCCTTCTATATGCGGGGACCTGGAGGAATTGGCACAGGGAATGTGGAGTCGAGTCCAAAGTGAGGTCTCCAGCCAGTCCTTCCCTTTAAGTGCTTGTCCCGCTGAACCGCCTGAGTGACAGGCAGCAGAATCACAGGGCAGAACAAACGAGGCCCCAGGACGCAGCCACAGAAGGCGCTGGCTGCCTGGGGCCTGGCTATTTCAGACTTGCCCTACTTAAGGCCTGCCTTCTCAGGACTGTTCTATAATCCAAAGTTGTCTGACATTTTGCAATGTGACATCCATGGGACAGGACTGGAAAAACCCTTGTTATTCCGTACTTTTTGTGCCTGGAGGAGACGGTAAGGAAGGCGAAGCTCTCAGAAAGCCTGCCATAGCTTTCTTGATGTTCCTTGGTGCTCATGTGTCCTGACAACAGTTACAATTGCAACTTTGGGCAAAGAATAGGTTGGAAGACGGTTTCAATGTTTTCCATCAGAACAAGGTCATACCGACACAACTGGGGCCTGCAAAAATAAGATGAAATAGTCTTGTCAACGAAATAATAAATATGCCCTATTCTAGTCAAATAGCTTGTATTATATCCTTAGGATATGAAATGATTTAGCAATTATTTCTAATGTTATAGGGAAATGCTTATGGTAAATAAGCAAAGTAACAGCAGCAACAACAATAAAACGGGATATAAAAATTTATTTGACACAGAAAGTCAACTAGGTCTAAGAACAGTAATAGAGCCCGACCGGTGTGGCTCAGCAGTTGAGGTCGACCCAGGAACCAAGAGGTCACCGGTTTGATTCCTGATCAGGGCACATGCCCGGGTTCTGGGCTCAATCCCCAGTAGGGTTCCTGCAGGAGGCAGTCAATCAATGTTTCTCTCTAATCGATGTTTCTCTCTCTCTATCCCATTCCCTTCCTCTCTCAAAATCAATGAAAACATATTTTTTTAAAATAACAGTAATAGAAAGCAGATTAGAAAGAAATAACCAAAAATGTTAACAGTGGTTGCCTTTGAATAATGACATTATGGGTGATGTTTCTCTACTTCCTAACGCTTTCTGCACTTTCCAAAATTTTTAAACGAACATGTATCCCTTTGGTAATCAGGAAAAAAAGTATTAAAAGAAACTTGTATTATTAAATGTTTTAGGGTACCCTAACCCTTCAGGAAAAGGGAATTTATAAAGTACTAGTGTTCACATCACTTCCTGCCTCCCTTGTGCCTGACATTGGATGCTAGAACTATATGTGGCATTAGTCACTAAACATACATACCATCTCAGCTTTTTCTTTTCTCCTTTGTCTCTATCTCTACACAAACACACACACACACACACACACACACACACACACACACACACAAACACATTCGTTGTTTACTTTTTTTTTAACCAATTGAGAATAGGTCATTTACCACTTAATTCTTCAGTGTGTATTTCCTAAGAACAAGGACATTTTCAGTGCAGTTATCAAATTTCACTTTCATACTGTACCAATGGAATAAAATATTCTAATTGTTCTATACCATTTTTTATACTAGGACCTGTTCTATCAGTTTGCTGAGTTATATGAGACTTTCTTTTCTACAACAAATTAGCAACTTGCAAAGCAATGTGGGTAGAGTGGTTAGGGAGGAATTGTATAACTCTATACATATAAGGACAATTATTTCTTTGGACTATTGGGCCATTTATCATTAAGTGCATACCAGTAAAATTTCCTTGGATTGCTGGGCTACTTGTTTTTATCAAGTCTATTTTTGGAAAACTCTTCACTTCCTTCATTGTGATTGATGAAGGCCAATTATAGCATTAGACCAAGCGGACTGGACAAGAACCAACAACATCTTTGGAAAACGGGCTTGTCAAACCCTGCCTATGTATGGCTCACCTCTCTGGATGGGCAAGTGACCTTAACTTCATTCGGAGAATCCTGAGCTTGTACCTCGGGCCTACTACAGATCCTGTAGAGAACACGAGGGAAATGGCTGCCACTTTATCCAGGTCTCGACTAAACCTTGCAAGCAGACTCACTTGGTGGTATTTCTGGAATGTTGCAGGTTCACTAGAAGGAAGAAATACTATTTTTATTTTATTTATTTTTATTTTTTAATAATTCTTTATTGTTGAAAGTATTACATATGTCCCCTTCCTCCCCCCCAACCATTGACTCCCTCTAGCCTGCCCCTGCCCCCCACCCCAGGCCTTCAGAAATACTATTTTTAAATGGATATTGATTGCTAGTGAAAGAAAAGAGTTTTGAAACTTATAAATCAGTAAGCAGGCAGCCATTTGACTCCATAGCCTGCAATAGCCGACTTTCGTGGGCAAAGTCCACTGGCTTCCCAAGCACTGCTGACCCCATGACCAAGGAAATGCTATGACTTTAGAGAGGTATGTGCTGCCTATAATAGCCAGGCAGCATCCTCAACTCTTGACACATGTCTCCAAACCCCTGAAAATTACTGCAAGGTGAGTATTAGTACAGTGGGGCCTTGACTTACGAGTTTAATTCGTTCCGAGACCAAGCTCGTTAAGGAGCTCGTTAACTCAAATTACTCTATCAACTCAATGCAAAAAAATCGGCCGAGAGACAGCTGGTATCTCAAAAAACTTGTTAGTGGGGACACTCGTAAGTCAAGGCCCCACTGTATCTTCGTTTCACAGACAAGGAAACAGGTGCTTTTAAAGGATGACTGTTATAGGATGTGAATTATATTTCAATTTCTTAAAAGGTTAAAAACAAGAAATACATGTAAAACATGGATATAGAAAGAGTCATCAGGCAGATAATAACCTTGAATGTGACTCCATTTGCACCCATAGTCTGGTAAGACTGGATAAACTCAAAGCACATACTGTAATATCATTTCCTTTACCTTAAATTGTAAAAATAATACTAAAATGTCAAAGTTTACCTTGCAAAAAAAGTAGCCATTATTTCCCACATAATAAAACAAGTATTTCCTTTTATTCCCATATATTCTCTGATTGGTGATGACTTTTTCACAAACACGACTAAAATGAGAATGATTAAACATGACTAATATGAAGATGTTAAGGTCTCTATTGTAATCAAGATTTAAAAACCCTCCAAATTTAGGAGCCCCTACTTGGAAGAAATTAACTATGTAAAATTAAAACTCCTATGACAGGTACTAGTAAATACGTAAGCAATTATTGACATGAATACTCATGTTTTGCTAAGTGAACACTCTCCATTATATAACTGCATGATCTCCCCTGCTATTTCCTAGAATCTCCAGATGAGGTCTCTGCCTCGCTGCCTCATTGAAGGTCACAGCTCAGAAACTACCTGAGGCTGATTCTTCAAGATGTGCTACACAGAGGGTGCCCTCCCTGAAAATGCTGCCCCACTGTGGGTATGAGAACACTGACACTATAGTGCGGTCATTGAAATACATCAATGAAGATCCCCAAAAACCCCACTACTCACAAATCCCAACAATGGTGGGGTGGAGGGAGCAATACAGCTTAGTGGGAGGAATATAATATAGTGATTAAAGCTATGGGCTTTGGGGTTGAACAGATCTGTCTCTGCTTTCACCTCATTCACCCTGATCAGCCAGCTGTGTGATACTGGCCAAATCACTTTCCTCATATGTACAATAGAGATGGTAATACTACCTCACAGGGTTTTAGTGAGAATTGCATTAACTAATGTGTGTAATGCACTTACTTCAATAAACAAAGGCTATTATCATTATTATCCAAGGATGCATTTTAAAAAAAATAGTCACCTCACCCTAGCTAGTTTGGCTCAGTGGATAGAGCGTCGGCCTGCGGACCAAAGGGTCCCGGGTTCGATTCTGGTCAGGGGCACATGCTCAGGTTGCAGGCTTGATCCCCAGTGCGGGGCGTGCAGGAGGCAGCCAATCAATGATTCTCTCTCATCATTGATGTTTCTATCTCTGTTTCCCTCTTCCTTCCTCTCTGAAATCAACAAAGAAATATATATTAAAAAAAAAAAGTCACCTCGCCTGGCCGGTGTTGCTCAGTGGCTGAGCATGGACCTATGAACCAGGAAGTCACAGTTCAATTCCCAGTCATAGCACATGCCGGGTTGCGGACTCAATCCCCAGTAGGGGGCGTGCAAGAGGCAGACGATCAATGATTCTCAGCATTGATGTTTCTACATCTCTCTCCCTCTTCCTTCCTCTCTGAAATCAATAAAAATATATTTGAAAAGTCACCTCTAAACCGCCCACCCACACTGTTTCTATCTACACTGTGAATCCGTAAGGCAATTGCCAGTTTCAGATGACATTCTTCTTGGTCCTCTATCCGTAAGGCCAAGAAACAACCCAAATACCTACTAGACAACAGGAACCAGGACACATTTCCTGAGAAAATGAATAAAATAAGCCTCAAGTGTTTTTGCTTAAAGAGTTTTGGTTTCTTTGTTCTTTTTCTCAATTGTAAAAGTAATAGATGAAACAAGTATTAATTAACAATTTTAAACAATATATAAATATACATATATAATACATATATACAATATATAGAAAATTGAAAAAATAAAGAGAAACTGAAAGAAAGCACTCATATTTCCACAACTCAAGGGGCAATCTAATATTTTGCCATGCTTCTATTTCATTTTTTATTAAGTTAAGCTAAAAATTTATACATAGATAATACATGTTGAATTTATACTTGGCATAATTTGATATCCTGAAGTTTTTCACTTAGTATACTATAAACATCTCATTTAATATGTTTTATAAATAATCCCAATGCATGAATGGTATTCTATTATATGGGAACATTTAAATCAACCATTCCCTCACTGTGCGGGTTTTAGGGTGTTTCCAATTTTCAATTGCAAGTTACATTTTCTGAGTTTCAAGAACATATACATATGTTTACATATATATGTAAGTATGTTTATGTATAGTATGAGCTCATAAGAGAATAGAAACATATGTGTACGGGGGTGGATGCCTGTGGGGGTGGGATTGTTGGGATGGACCAAGAATTTGCACTTATATTTTACATACTCCTTACTGTCTAAGTTCTTTACAGCAAGCAAAGATGAGTTTTGTAATTAAATGCTTAAACAAAGGAATGAAGGAGAAGAGGGAGAAAAGGAAGGGAGGGTGAAGGGTGACGTAGGAAAGGGAAAGAAGGGAGGGAAGGAGGAAGAGAGGAGACGGGGTAATAAATCCTTGCACCAATTCCATTTGTAAAGATCCTGGGAGATCAAGAGCCAAAGGAAGCAACTAAACAATATGTCCCCTTATATCTTTTGTAAAACAAAGGAAAGTACAGACATGTAAATAAGAAAATGGGTATATTTGGAATTCAATTTCTCTGAGCAAAAAAGGAAAATAGCAAACTATAAATGATCCCAACCCAACTTACTGATCGATTTTGGATTCTGTGGTATTTCCAGCTTTGTCTTTCAATTTGATTGTAATTGACCCTCTTCTTATGTTCTTGTTCCAAGTTATAATATCCACAAAGTAATGATATACTG